AGACAAAAAAAAATTTCATTAAAATCGGCCCAGCCGTCTAGGAGAAGTTCAGTGACACACACGTACAGTAGAGTTATGTATATAAAGATATGGACGCCCAAAATTATGTTTCAACAAACAAACGATAATAACTTTCGTTGTCGATTGTGTAAACGTCAGTTGTCATCTATTCTTTCAATCTGTCATAATAACGACAAAAGATAAGTATTTTCAACTGATTTTTAGCTTTTAAAATACTCTAAATAATAAACTTATTGTAAGTAGAATCTATTTAATAAATCATTTCCAAAGATTCCTAAAGAGTACAAGTTATGGCCAGAGCCTCATATAAAAATTAAATATCTCCCTTTATTGAAAAGATATATTAGTTTTTTAAACAATCATAAACTGATGCTGTAACTAATTCTAAACTATAACGAAAAATCAAGTTTAAATTACTCAGGGCTAATTTTGAAATCGGAAATCAAAATCATCATAGCTATTAACCGTTCTTTTCTTAGAAAGCTCTGAAGCATAACGTTTTCTGTTTATTTTTGCAAAACACTAAAAAAATCTACACACAATGCTGACATAGATATCTACTTTCTACTCCGAGGTCCGAGCATATACACAAGTATTCGTATATTCTCGCAATAAAACTCAAATTCTTTTAGGTCACTTGCCTACAACCACCACGGGTGTTGTCGGATAAAATCCCAAGTACAACTCTCCATATTGTTTCGTTTGTACGAACTGTTAGGCATAACAATATTTACTGGCTGCTAGATTGCGGTTACTTAGTATAGGCAAAGAGAAATTTATGTGTTGTATTCTGATTATGTCGGCTTTTCGACGATTTTTAACCGACTTCAAAAAGGAGGTTTCTCAATTCGACCGTTTATATTTTTTATGTGTGTTCGCGAATAACTTCGTCGTTTATGAAACGATTTTGATAATTTTTTTGTCGGAAAGGAAATATCCCATGGGGGTGCCATGATAAAGAAACCCAGATCTGATGATGGCATCCCAGAGAAGTCGAGGGCCGTCATTGAATGTTATAGGTATAAACAATGTTTTTAACTTTCTGATTGAAGTCGGTTTTTTTTTTTTTTTTAATTATACCTGTTTTATTGCAATATTTTGGATAGGGATTTGCAATTCGCTTTTAGCATCTTAAATTAAAATTCATTCAATGCAGATAAGAATATTTAAAAGAGTCAGTCGGCGTAGGCCTATTGCTTATGAGGAAGATTTAGAAGCAACCATACCCTCTTAAGTTTTAATCATACACAATTGTAATATCCTATCTTTTATCTTCGCTTTCCATAATTAGGGTAAGCGTGATCCTTACTGTAACTTTTTGTACAAATGATTGAATTTCATCTAAAAATTCGAAATATTCACTTCCTTATTTTTCGATGGTAAATAATAACTCATCTTTACAGATTTCACACATCTTTTTGTAGGCTTTCTGATACTTTTTGCGTAACAGCTTCTATATTAAAACAATAATAAAACTTCTAAAGCTAAATAGAAACGCGTAAAGCATAGAATTTTATCTTTGAGACAAGCGCGGTGATAACAACTGATCGATATAGTATGCAGGAGTTTCATAGATGTAATGGTTATTTGATAATCATAACAGGCATGTGGTAGGAGTTAATTTTGTTATGGTTTCTTACATGAATGGTACTTAAATTTCAATCAGAGTAAATTCTCATATTTTTTTTAAAGTTATACTTCTTTTGGCGCGTTAGGCAAAAATAATGAGAGTAAATTTTTACGATGCGCGCGCACACCGTCATGAATAACCGACACCCTAAAGTTAGCTAGACATCTACGTATGTTTGCGTGAGAACGGACAACTGTATTTATTTTGTGATATTTAAAACAACTTTATTTAATTAGATAATGCGTTATAATAAAACTTTCAATGTATTAAATACCTTTTTTCTATTGTTAGTGTAGTTTTTTCTACAAACGTAGAAAGGCGAAAGATAAAATTTTTGAAAAGATTTTTATCTTGTTTCGCCAAAGAAGTATAACTTCTAACGCGTATATATAAGTACACACACACTTTTTTTCTAATCTTCAAATATATAGGTACATATTTGAGATATTTGAGATGCCAAAATTTCTTATGCATTCACAGCAGTAATTTGAGATTTTTTAATAATTTTTTGATAAACCGTTATTTTTTGTATAAACAATAATTGACTTCTTACTTTTGACTTTTTTGAATTTTTCTTATTAAGTTCCTTTTATGTTTATATGTTTTTATTTTCATTAAGACAGATACTTATTTATAAATTTGTACATTACCATTCGGTGACTGCTCATGTTAGTGCGAAAATTTCGCACAGGTCAAGTAGAAAGGTCCAGATCAATCTAAAGCGAATCCAATATCCTAATATTAAGTGATCGTATTTCCAAGCCTGTCAAACGGATTTTGTTCAACACCGAAAAGATATGAAACACTCGGATATACAAAAGTATTGTCTTTATAAAAAGTAGGGAACAAACTGCAATAATAGGGTACTGTCGCGACAGTCAGGCGCCTGCTGCACACATGTATAACATGACCTGCGGCGATCACCGCCGTTTATACTTTGATAATTGTTAGAATAAATTATTTATACACTCATGGTGTGTCCTCGTTTGCAACATGAATATGCACGGCGACACTGGCCCCCGAATTATTAACGCCTTAATGGGTTAACAAATTTATGTATTACCTATTATATATACTATTTTTACTTTGTGCGAGACTCACTATGTTATTGGAAAACAAATCATAAATAAATCTCTTGAATATTGTTATGTAGACCAATTTGAATTTTTCTACAATTCTTGGGTAACGGTACACTTGTACCAACGTCTTCAATTTTAATTAATCAAACGATTTCGGTATTCGAAAGCGCAAATCACACATTTGCTCATAACGCTGTCTTCGCTACACCACTAATATTCAGTTGTCCCATTAGGAGTCCCGCGCTAATATCAGTTGAATATCGGAACAATATTGGATTTAACTCTCAAAGGCAGAACAGAGCGGTACTCAGTACCGCAGTGTTATATAAGCGGGCGTCGCTCGATAGAGTCGGTGCTAGCGGCTAGGACGGGGCGCGCTACTGGCCGCCGTCTGCCCATGCCGCTATGTATTCGGTCTCGAGCATATCGCTCACCAGAATACTGTATTGGCACTGTGCTTCTTTGTGGCGCACGGGCGCTACTTAGCGGACCGTAAAGTTTACGTGCACACGGCGAATTTTTTGCCGTTTCCATGTTTAAACCTCTATCTATATTATCACAATCTGGTTTATTTGAGTTTTTGAATAATACGCTAGAAAAGCAACTTAGTCAATTGCAAGCATTCTTTGTCAATAGTAGAGTTAGTATTTAACAATCATATTCGTTAGTATTATGTAACTGTGCTTTTTCTTAATTCAAATAAACCGCCCGATAAAAGAAAATTGACTCATAACATAATAGACTAAGGTTCTCGTCCTTGCATGCAATCGTGCTCGAATTCATTCAGTACACTGGATACGCTCGAATATGCTAAGTGCTGAACAATGAGTGCTCTACTCGCGCAGGTACACTTGAGTTTGTTAGGAATAATGGATTCGTTTGTTGCCGCAGTGTTACGTAATGAATTTCCTACGAAATACGAATGCCGCGATTTACTAACTGCCACTGACTCCCTCAATTAGCTCTTCAGGTTTCGTTCCTCCAACAACTTTTCACGGCCCTAGTTTTTCTCTTTTATAATTGAACTAATTTATTACCGCCATAGGAAAAAGTTTTGCAATCTGATCTTGAGATTTCTTTTTTAAACTAATTAACTCATTGCTTGTGTAAACGAATTTCAAACTGCCGTTCATTTATACTGACTATTTTTTAAAACTTGTTTTGCTTGACGTAATTTTCTTAATACATACATACCTACATATAAGACCTTATGAAATAAATTTCAAATCTCTTGAAAAAAAAAAACGTCTTGCAAACCAAAAAAGTAGGGCACAAAGTTTCGAGTCAGTAAATAATTTACAGTCGACAAATTTTAAGTGTAGTGCTAAAAGTATATTATATAAATTGTTTCAGGAAATAAGTTGTCAGTCTGCGTTTTTTTCATGTTTATTAATAATAATAACAGCAAACAAGCTAAAAAGTTATCGACTTTTGTACAAAATTCGACGAAAAGCTAACTACTAAATAAGCATATTTTCGAATCTACTCAATGTTTTTGTAACTGCCCGGTGTTTAGTTTGCTTGACAAAGCGAAACTCAACAAACATGAAAGGTTAAAATATGATATACCTTGTTGAGTTACAATTATAATTACGAACAAATTATAATAGTAACAGTGATATTATATATTAAACAATAAATAGACTTCGTTATTGCTGCAATAATTGTGGTTACTATAATGTTTGTTAGATTTGATGATTTAATTTTAATAATATAATAATTATAAATACTTAATTAAAGTAGATTTTCACTGAAGTAAGGATAAATGTGTTCCATAGCCAAAATTAGTTCCATTTTCAACCGTCTTGTAAAGTGACCTTTATATATAGTGTGTCATGAAGCAACTGTGAAATGAAAACACATAAAAATAAATTAAAACGCCGCTCAAGTCGCTCAACAGCAACCTCTAGAGAAACTATATTCCAATTTATTATGTTATTGTGTTTTTTAATAATTCTTGTTATTAATATATAATATAATTATTGATATCACTTACAAAAGACATATTTTATGTTACTACGCTACTACTATAACATACGCAAGTAAATTAAAATGTCAAAGTTTAAAGACATTAACCTTTACCATTTTAATATGAACTTTAATGCCTTGAATCGATATACATATTACATACATGTGTACATATTATAGTGATAGAAATGTTGATTGTGATCCTGCTAACTATACTTCAAAAACTCTAAAGTTAAACTGGCAGGTGTTGATTTTGTTTTATAAGTTCCGTAAAATTTCTTAAACCAAGTAAATTTTAATAGCTATGTATACCCGACCATGGACGAGCTGGCCAACCAGTTAAACTACGTGCTAGGCCACTTCGGCGTCAAGTCATTCGTCGGTTTCGGAGTGGGCGCTGGCGCGAACATCCTCGCTAGATTCGCGCTCGCTCACCCGCAGAAGGTAAAATGCCCGGTCATGACAGGTAACAAATAGTATATGTAACCTTTGTTATTTCCCCCCATCGGATGTAAGCGCAAAGCGTGTTTGGCAAGGTAATGGCTTCGCTGCCGGGGGTCGTGGATTCGATTTCCACACGGGATACGTATTTCTAGTCCAGAGACAATTGTTCCGTGAGTCTATTCCCAAGAAGGGTTGTATACGTAGCCATTAACTTAGAACATTAACAACATGAATGACATGCTGTGCTGACTGCAACCAGGTGGGATTAGGGAAGGAGAGAAAGGAAAAAAGAAGTATATAAACAAATTAATGAAACGCAAGGTAATGTACCCTCAGCCCCCACCCCCACCCCATGTCTATTAAACAAATCATCACCAATATACGTGTTCTTCAATTGAATCACTAAATCAACTCTATAGTTTCTCACCCATTTTACGAATCGCTGTTTAGGGAAAGTATATCCGTTTGTATTGCAGGTGGAAGCTCTCACCTTAATCAATTGCACGTCGAGCCAGGCCGGCTGGATCGAGTGGGCCTATCAGAAGATGAACACCCGTTCCCTGCGCTCGCGCGGCATGACCCAAGGCGTGCTTGACTACCTCATGTGGCATCACTTTGGAAGGGTGAGTTGCAATGAAACCTCAAAAAACTTAATCATCTGTTTCAGAGATCGCCTTTTGACTCAAAACGTCTGTATATTAAGCAGTTCTAATAGGAACGAAACACGATAACAAAATATCTGAATTTAATCGACCGTCCAGTGGGTTGGCAACCCTGCACCAACAGCTGTCCTGTTTGGCCCCTGTTCAAATTTGCGATGCGTTCTCATACTGTTGTCGTTTCGTATTTTTGCCCAAATAATTAATGATGCGTTGTTCTGGTCTCTTTCCATGCTTAGCGATTTTTTTTTCATATACGATTTAATAAGACCTAAATTAAAAAAAATGCATTTCAGTCAAGAAGGAATGTACTTGTATTTTTCAGCTTTTCATATGACGTTAAATTATACCGCCTCTGGAGGTTACTGCATCGTTACCCATCTTTGTTTTAAACCTCGAGTAGACTATTCATAGAAAATGTAAAATCTGGCTTCGGCGTGCAATTAAGTTTAACGCAAACATTGTCGGTTTTTGCATAGCAAAGGCGAATGTGCATCAGAGCGTTCAAAACAGTGTCCTTGATATATGTACGTAGCCCGATGCTAATACAAATTTGCATTTAAACTCCAACACCGCGTTTCTATATTAAGTTATGTTACTGCGACCGTGGTGGCACAGCTAACAATACGCTTCATTTGGCCAATTTAGTAGGGATGCGAATGTTTCATATTAAATTTGTGCTAGCTTAAAAACCTCCAGCAATTTGAAAAGTGCAACTCGAGGCGATTGTAAATGAGTTATTACTGCAATGCAACTGCCCGTCTAGACGACTTGGTAAAAACTGTTTTGACTTTTTAAGATTCTTAAAAAGTTATCGTCTTTGTTCATTTCGTCGCATTAAAATAAGACTTGAATGGATTATGCTTTGCGATGTTCGTTTTGACTTGCCCTATTTATTTATGTAAAATTGTAATCTATTTAAAATGCTTCGTGTTAGTCTGTTTGGGAGGCCCATGTTCAGCAGTGGACTCAAGCAGGGGGAAATGATGATGATTATGATGACGATGACTCAAATCCAACGCCACGATTTGCCAAAAGCTACGAGGTCGAGCGACGTCTGCCGCGCCCAATCGAGGGCGGACCGCGCGCGCTTGTCTTTGATGGGGGGCCAATTTTGTTGGCAGTTCGCCGAGGAGCGCAACCACGACCTCGCGCAGATGTACCGCGCGTACTTCACGCGCAACGTGAACCCCGCCAACCTGTCGCTGCTCATGGACTCGTACGTGCGCCGCTCCGACCTGGGCATAGCGCGCGACGCCACCACCATCCGAGCGCCCGTCCTCAACATCACCGGCGCCCTATCGCCGCACGTCGACGACACGGTCACCTTCAACGGCCGCCTGCAGCCCACCAACTCCACCTGGATGAAGGTCAGTGACCCGCGCGCCGCGCGCCTCGCCCCCCACCCGGTTATTCAACTTATGTAGGTGCGTATTTTGGCGCGTTTGGGAATAACGATGAGGGTGAGTTCTCACGGTGCGCGACAGGTGTAAGACATGGTGTTACCATGACGAACAATAGTCCGTTCAATTAAAAAAATCCGTTATCATTTGCATTTAATGTCTTTTTCTCACAAACAAACAGTTCTAGCACACAGGATAACGTTTTTAGTTATTTTTCTTTTGTTACACTAGAAAAGTATAACTTACGTGCGTACATAAGTGGGATCGTTTTTTTCTTCTGTCTAATGTCCATATTTCCTTAGAAGTCTATTGTCTATTAAGTTTGTCATCAAGGCGCCGCGCGACTTGCTAAAGAAACTGCTCGACTTGTTAAATAAACTTGCACCGAACAAAGTTACTTTATTCCTTTACGTAAAATTGCGGTCTCGACGTTCATTCGATCGTGTTAAAATTGTTTATTTTTAATTAGAAGGCACTTAAATAAATACAATCGAGCGTCGCATTATTTATTTTTCATTAGCTAACTTCAGTGTTTGAAAATGAATATTTACTTTCGCGTTCGTTTTAATTCCCAATGTTTGTTGTCTTTAAACTCTCGTATTGCTCAATCTTATTTCATTTAAAAATATCAAAGTGATCCATAAAACATGATACTATTATTTAATAAACATTACAAATTTTAATAGGTGTGTTAACGAAGAGAATTACAGAATTACTAAAGAAGGGTAGAAAATAAAACAAAATTGACTTATTAAAAAATGACCTTTCACAGTCTAAAGGCGTTACACTAGTTTTGGTGACTTGAAACATATGTGATAAGAATATTCGTACATTATATTATGATAATAACAGCAGCTAAATAAGCTGGTCACATAAAAAATATTAGCAGAAACCGGCCACATGTGGAATACTACCATAGTGTATTGATTCGTAGCATATTCATAGTAGCGTATTCCTATCGAGCTAGATGCGGCAGAACAAATGTATGGGTTGAACATCACACGTGGATAAAATAAAAATGAATTAATATAAAATAATGCTAAATAGGGGAAGTAATTACAAAATCTACTGATGACACAGCTTCTCGTATTACTGCTCAATGTTTTGTGAAATCTTATTACATCGATTCTCCCGTAAACAAAATCCATAGCCGTCATAAACCGTTTAGCGGTGATACATTAAAGTCAACATTGATGAAAAAAGCGTCTCCGATGACGTAGGTACACGAACACTCAACGTATAATTCTAATTAACCGACTACAAAAGGAGGACATTATCAATTCGATTGGTATCTTTTTATTCGATTGGTAGATTATGCGAAGATTTATAATCGGATTTGCGTGATTCTTCCTTATTTTCATGCAGAATAGTTGCCATTTGGTCCCATAAAAATTTTAAGTAATTTAGTCGAGTAGTTTTCATTTTATGAACATTTTTACAAGATTTTATTTAGTTTCACCTTTCATATGTATCATATTGCTGCGAATTACGATTATGGGGTTGACGTCTGAAATAACCGTCGATGACAGTTTGGAATGACGTAGGTATATGATATTATTTTAAATTATTAGTGTAATTTGAAAGAAGGTTCGAATTCCAGAACTTTTTCAGTTTATAGAACAACCTATTACAGACACTAAAAAGTAAAAAATAAAGAAACTACGTTTAATAAAACCGACTTGAAAAACTAAAAAGTATAAAATAAGTTTAATGGATCCCTTCTAGGGTAGTTTAATAGATCTCTTATGCAAACCTAAATACATTTAATAATAATAAAATACTATTATTTGTATGAGCTACCTATTGATAGGTTTGAAGTCGGTACCAAGCCCTAAAAAAAATAAAACTCAATATTATAAACAGCGTACTTACTGCAATGAAATTCCTACCCTAAAAATCATCATCATCATCATTTCAGCCTGTTTGAGTCCACTGCTGAACATAGGCCATGAAGTACGATCCTGAGCCACCTGCATCCATCGACTTCCCGCACATTTGCACAGGTCGTCACTCCATCTAGTGGGGGGTCGTCCTACACTGCGATGGCCAGTACGAGGCTGCCACTCGAGAACCTTTCTTCCCCAACGGTTATCGGTTCTACGAGCTATATGGCCGGCCCATCGCCACTTCAGCTTGCTAATCCTCTGAGCTATGTCGGTTATCTTAGTTCTACTGCGGATGTCTTCGTTACGAACTCTATCACGCAGAGAAATACCGAGCATAGCCCGCTCTATAGCTCGCTGAGCGACTTTGAGCTTCCTCACACGGCCAGCAGTGAAGGACCATGTCTCGGTTCCGTAGGTCATCACTGGCAACACACATTGATTGAAGACTTTAGTCTTCAAACATTGAGGTATATTCGAAGAGAAGATTTGCCGAAGTTTCCCGAACGCTGCCCATCCGAGTTGGATTCGCCGATTGACCTCTGCGTCGAAGTTGGACTTACCTAGCCGGACTAACTGTCCTAGGTAAACGTACTCGTCAACAACTTCGAGCTCAGTGCTCCCAACAACAACCGGTATAGGCGCGACATGGACATTAGACATGATCTTCGTCTTGTCCATGTTCATCTTAAGGCCCACCCGTTGGGAGACACTGTTGAGGTCATTGAGCATAGCACCCAGGTCATCCAGCGATTCTGCCATGATGACTATATCGTCGGCAAATCGAAGGTGGGTGATGTATTCGCCATTGATGTTAATACCTCGTTCTTTCCAGTCCAGAAGCTTGAAAACATCTTCCAACGTAGCGGTGAAGAGTTTAGGGGATATGACGTCACCCTGTCTTCCAACCTTCTGCAGTTGGATAGGTTTTGTACTACTGGACTGTACTTGGACGGACATCGTAGCCTTGTTATACAAACACCGCAGCACTTCGATATACCGACAGTCAATTTGGCACCGCTGAAGAGCCTGGGAGTACCGCCCAAATTTCGACAGAATCGAAGGCTTTCTCATAGTCCACATACGCTAGGCACAAAGGCAGATTATACTCTTCGGTCTTCTGTATAATCTGCCGCAAGGTGTGTATGTGGTCTATGGTACTGAAGCCTTTTCGGAATCCGGCTTGTTCGGGAGGCTGGAAGTCGTCGAGTCTGGAAGCGAGACGATTCAATATGACTCTTGAGAACAGCACATAGACGCGGCTCAGAAGGGATATCGGTCTATAGTTCTTCAAGAGAGCGTTATCGCCTTTCTTGAAGAACAGCACCACCACACTTCTTCTCCACGCCTCTGGTGTAGCACCACCCTGAAGGACGGAATTAAAGAGCCTCTGAAGGACTACAAGTACCGGTTCTCCACCCGCTTTCAGAAGCTCTGCTGTAATTCCGTCCTCTCCCGATGTTTTGCCATTCTTAAGATGGTCAAGAGCCATTCTAATCTCGCTCAGACTGACGTCCGGGATATTCTCGGAATAATGTCGGATAAGCCTTGCTCTTGGGTCGTTACTCACACATGTGTGTGGCTCCAACGAAGATGTGTACAGCTGTCCATAGAACCTCTCAATCTCACTCAACACTAAAAATAAACCTACGTAAATAAACCTAAAGAACAATGTGAATTAATGTGAAACAGATGAAAACTTTATGATAAAAATACATATAATATTAATACCTTAATGAGTAACTAGCTATATTAAAACTAGGCCTAATAATAGCCAAGCTAAATGTAATATAGCTATATTAAATTTGGCTTGGCTATTAGCTTAGCACCGACTACAAACCTATCAATAAGTAGTTCATACAAATAATAGTATTTTATAAATATTAAATGTATTAGGTTTGCATAAGAGATCTATTAAATTAAAATTTATTTAAGTTACTTATTTTAGTTTTTGAAGCCGGTTTTTTTCAACGTAGTTTTTTTTATTTTATGTAAAAGCTCAACACAACGATCACATATTTATCGCAAATTAACAAACAGCAATACTTTTAACCTTACATAATATTATTCAATTATTACGCAGAAAAGATAGATTGATATAAACTGAATGATTTTTGCATTAGTTTATCAATAGCGTGTTATGATTAAAACTGACAAGTGGTCGGTCATTTAAACCATCTCTCCACGGTCACACTAATAGCCGAAGCCTAGTGCTGCCACTCGTTACCCAAACACTCTTCACTCATATAACGAGCTTGCGGCCGTCGCAAATAGCATACAGATTATATTATCCGTCGATAAACGTGACCGTTTATCGGACAATTTTCCTTAAAAATGTTGTCAGCTAATGTCGTAAATGACTTCCCGATCCCATAAGACAGGCTTTATCTCTTCATTACATGCTGTATATAATTAAAACCGTTATCTAGCCGTGATTTGTTAATTACGTGACGTTTATATAGTCTGCTACATCTTATTATTATTATCTATATACAGGGAGGCTTTTTGAGAAGTGCCCAAATTTACACAGGAGGTTCAGACTCGGTAGTATAATCGTTCATTGAAATAAAAAACAAAGTTATTTTTTTCAAAAAAAAAATTCCCTTCTATTCCCTAAAAAATAGAACTTGTTGACAATGCGGTAGTCATTCATAAATGTACCTAAATTTTACTGTGCACGAACTTGTGTGCGTGTTAGTTATGAATGATCGCGCGTAAAATAAATGAGTTGCGTATAAATCACGCACTTCTTGAGATAAGTTCAAATTAATGTAATTAATTACTTACGAGTGATTTTAAATATTTATCATTTTTTATATAACATTGATGTCTAGAATTCAATAAAAAATGGATACACTTAGAAAAGCCTCCCTGAAAATAAAAATGAATTGCTGTTCGTTAGTCTCGCTAAAATTCAAGAACGGCTGGACCGATTTCGATTATTTCTATTTACTGCTAATTTTGCTTTTGAAATATTTGTGGCAGTCCAGGGAAGATTTAAACGATGAGAAATTATGGAAAAATTGCATGGAAAACCTAAAAAGCATCAATCTCATTTTCCCATACAAACTGTTCCTACCTGTCAAACATTTTATGGGTGCGTTCCGAAAATTCTTTTTGTATGCGTTCCGATTCACAAATTTCCTAGAAATGATTTATATGGCACAACAAAGTTTGCCAGGTCAGCTAGTCTTTTATAAATTCTGAGCCTAGAGATTTGTGTGATCATTTAGTGTCTCCTGTCAAACGGTACGCTGCAGTGATGTTTTTAATTGATCGATCTTGTCTATCCGACAACAGCGGTACGGCACTTCCAACTAAGGGGTATTAACCTATTAAACCCAAACATGCATGTTAAATCAAATATCAACATCTATTTCTATGGCCTCAATTTTATTACTTTTTATCGTTTTACTAAACTTACAAAAATAGTGTTGTTTATAGTGCAACAAAAATTAACTAAAAAGTTTATTACGTAAAACTCGTAATTATCATAGATAATTTTTACCTATTGTCATTGATATGAAATAATCTTCTTATTATATTTAACGAAAGAGTGTGGGATTTAACATAAGTGCGAGTAGTTTATTTTTATGCGGACAAGTTGCAGAAATCTAAAAATTATATAATGTACACATCAAAAAAGTTTGTTTAATGATCGGGTCAGGTATGAGTGTGAATAGTCCTCTATAGCGGGATGTGTGTTAGCACTTTATGTGGGTATAGTGTTCTCTAGTGGTATGTATGTTAGCACTATATGTGGATATATATTATTGTCTAGTGGGATGTTCGTTAGCGCTATAAATGGGTATAGTGTTGTACGCGAACTTTGCATGTTCAACTGCAATAGGCGAACACACCTTTATGCATTGGTGGAATAATATTATTTTAAATTATATATATGCATTGGTAGAATATTTTTTTTAATTGCAATAAAGATGTATTTTATTTTTGCATCAAAGAGGAAATAAACTTCATTAAATCAATAATATTACTGTTTATTTATTGCTCTCTGGAACGTACTAAAAATTTCATACTTACCTTCACTTTGAAAACTTACGTCCAATTTTACTAAGCAGGCGAACTCTTTTGCATCGGGGTCCACATTGTTGTCAACATACGTCTGACAAAGCTCTTTACTCTCTTTAACTACAATATTCTAGGAAGAGGACGGCATACCCTTTTGAATTCTAAAAATGTATTAAAAACCGTCAGAGGAAAGGGATTATATTATGTGCAAGTGCATATTTCAAACCAGGAAAATTAAAAAAAAAACTAAATAAAACTGCAGTGCACGCCGCTAACCAGCAAGATTTTGTATTTAAAGATTATAATTTAAATTTAACATAGATTTCTTATAGATGTAGTCTAATACCACCCTTATAGTGTATTTGATTAAACATAACCCACATCATGATATGATTAAGTTGGATGAAATATAATTTGCTATAGGGAGCTAGCTTATTATTTATACCAAAAGAACTCATTTGCTTCACTTTTTAACATCAGACAACAATGTACCTTACAGATATCCGATTCTGGTATGGTGCTAGAAGAACAGCCAGGCAAGATCTCGGAGGCTTTCCGTCTGTTCTTGCAGGGTGAGGGCTACGGTAAGTGAACGGCTGCCAAGCTCGAGGGATGTACCTAGTATCATGCCTATTTAAAATTTAAGCATTAACTTTAACATTTCGGTTTGACATTTAGTGCATGCAGAAATTGTATTATAAATAGTAAGCAGGCGGTTAGTTGAAGGGGCCAATTTTGTATAACTGCATGTTTTTGCTGCATAGGGTCACTAAAATTCGGATTTCGTCTGGAAACGGAATGTTTATTTCGGTGTTAGTTTCATTATATATTCTTAACATTTTTATATTGTATTGTTAATTAAAATAAGTTTTTTTGCTATATACAACAACTGTGCAAAAGTACACTAATTTATGAGATATTACCAATGCTTACAATATATTTAGAGATTAATAACTAACAATGTATCTGTTGGGTATATCTTCAGGTAGCCTTAAAATACAAATTATATTTAGAAGGCCTGTCTTATAAGCTAACTTATTGATTAAATTATATTATGATATTTACGTCACAGATTACGATCTATTCATTACTTAAGACCTATTTCCACTTCTTTTGCACATTGGCTTAATATGTCAGAAGCCTTTCAAAGCATATTGTTATTACACATGTAACTAGAGAGCGAGGGCATCGCAGATGAGTAACAAAACTTAACGAGTGAGGTAGCGCAAAAATGTGCATTGTTTGCGATCCTGTTCTAACTAGATATTGACGTTAGTACGTATGAAAGCTCCATTTTTAAGAATTCTTCTATCTAAGGACATTTTATATGAAGAAAACGTAGGCCGAGATATTTCATGTTATTGGAGCTCGACTCCAACTACGCCCGGCACTTGAAGCATTTATTTGCCCCGCCTCGCTCAATATGGGTAATGCATCGCACGGTAAAACTATTTATAGCATGCGCCTACCTTTCTTTGCCTTAGCAAGAAATCTATTGGTTACGAGATATGTTTCCTTTATTATTTTCATTAACATTTAGTTGTTTAATCGTTCCCTGGTTGCCCTTAAAAGTTGTATTTAAAAAAATGTGATCTCAAGTCTAATACAAAATATAATCTGATTTCCTAGATTATAAGTATAACATACAACGGTAGAAAATTTAACACATTAAAGTTATTATGGGAGAATGTAAATAAATCAATCAATGATTGACCGTAATTCTAAGAGGTTTCTAAGAAAATTAAATGTATATCATATTTGTTCTGTTGTAAACCTTTCCTCGAGAAAAAAAAATGGTTTTTAAATATTGTTCTTTTATAAGCTTGCTAACAATTAGTTTTAAGAAAGAGTTGTTATATTTCTGAAAGCCTTGTCTTTTTTTTTTATTATTCCGCCTTGATTATGTTTGAGTCTGGATTTGAGTTATGCAGATTACCCTTTAACTCGGTACGTATGCGAAAATCTTTTTTGTATGTTTCACTAGTAAAGTTTGTATGTGATTCACTTGCATGCTATCCATAAGCTTTTACATTTGTCTAACATCCTATTTATATGTAAACTTTATATCGTTATATTGTTCTTAGTTATTTCACAATTTGTTTAAACCTCATTTGGTATTTTAATTTAGGTTAAGGTTATCAAAATTTCTTTAGTTCCGTTTGTGTTAATTTCTTTAATTTACTTTAAAAATATTTTTTTTACGTTAAGTTTAATTTAAATGCTACAGTCCATGAAATCTAATAAATACATTTCACATTTTTCCCTCATAATGTCTCTATTTTATTGTGTAGATCCCATTTCAAACTACAAATTTGATATCAATAAAACAGCTACAACAAACACCGATAATAATTCGAAAATTAATTAAATTAGTAATTCACTGAAGCCCAATACTTTATCGTCGTATCTAGTTTGGTGTTTAGTTTTTGTTCCTGCTAATGCGGTAATATGTAGAAATTTAAAATCGTATACTAAGAAGTTTTCTACTGTAAGCATTTACTTGTTATAAATCGTTTTGCATTAAATTCATGTATTAATATCCTTAATTATTTATTGTTTAATAGAATCTTTATTTGCATGATTGTAGTAATCTCAACTATTTTAATACAGTGTAAAGCATATATGTTAATATTTCTAAAGATTCATATAATTCTGATGAACATATAATGGTTTAGGTACCTATGTGAGTTTATCAGAGAATGGTCGAAATGTTTTTCTTAGATTGATTGGACCATAACAGAGGTATACATGTATTATGAAATGGTGACTTTTTTGCTAGAAGCTACGTCACTCTCGATAACTTCTCCAAACAATAGCGCATACAACATATCAAAAATGAAGTAACAATATCTTCTAAATTAAAAAAACTGAACTTTACAGGAAACGAAAAGAAGTTAAAATCAGTTAATTTCATTTAAAAGGTAACTATAATTATTTAATAATTCAGTTTACATGAACCGTGCAAACAACGTGTCTGTGGTATATTGCTGTTGAGCGCATTCAAATCATTTAAACTACATATTATTGCATTTCATTTGCACTTATTGCTACACAATACGCCCATGTGTAGATCCCGGTATATGACGAAAATTAACGGTGTTCTTTTGCGAGGGCGAATGTTTGGGGCGGCTTTGTGTGTTGGTGACTGGATACTTTTTGACCTCTTAATTCCATAACAGCTATGTTACCTCACGCAGGTTTCCAGTCAGATAATAGCTACCGATCGAGCCGAGGTCCGGCCTAAACGCGTAATAAGTGACAGCCCAAGCCGAGGCCCCCTCTCGGGGACGATTGAGCCTGGTCACTCTATGGAGCGTCCGCCAAAGCGCCCTAAGAGCTTGACGGCCTCCCAAACCGGTGACGATAATAGCGTGACGGCCCGAGCCGAAGCTCCCTCGAGAGTCCTCGAGCTTAGTCACCATAACGCGTAATAATAATACGCCGAGGTTCAGGCTAGGCGACCCGAGCGCCAGGTCACCTCAAGTCCGTCGGAACTGTAAAGGCCCAAAAAAATTAAAACCAAAAAAAGTGGCTCTAAAAGCCCAAAAAAATTAAAACCAAAAAAAATTTGTATACTATCATTTTTGGACCATATACGATAAACCACATTCACAATCATCAGAATATAGATAAAAGTACATAAACCATATGATATGTTACACCTTGTTATTATGATAAATGAATAACAGGCCAAAGTTAATATAAATACTAAAGCACGCTGTGTACATATATAATAATCTCCTGTCACAGTGTGTCCGCCTTGGAGCCTGAATCTACAAAACCGATTTTTATGTAACGTAACATGTAAATTAATAACGACAATATTTATTATTGCCCATTTGGTACTTATTAGACGGAGGCTTGAAAATATTTGTAAGTTTCTTAATTTTCTTTCAGATCATGAGTGTGTCATTACACTAGTATGTATTTTATTACTTAAGTCACCACAGTTAGACACCGAATTATTATTAATTAGCCGAATTTCAATCCCATATCTTTATTTGTCGCTAACAACTTGTGTTTTCAAGATTAACATACAACATAACCTTGCTTTTCAAATTCATTTGTTATTATTAATGCAAAAAGTAATAAAAGTTCACAGAGTTTTATACAGAATAACTTTCTGTTATTAGTTTCCTTCTTTTACCATTATGTAAACAATTCATGTATTATAATACAATCGAATGAACTATAAATTGCATCTAAAAACTTTGTTGATTACAAATCCCGGAAATTATAAATATATATTAAAGGGCTGAATTAAATAGTTACATGTGATATAAAATTAATTTATATAAACAAAGCCTCGGCAACGCCTTAGTATTTATATATAAATAATATTGGTGGCAAAATTATCAACAGGTTTCAAACACACAACAATTCTTAAAATCTTACATGTTCTCAATAGGTGGTAATTAACATTTTTAAGTGGAATCGTTTCTAAATAGTTGACCTTTTTGGTAATGTTTGGTAAATGTTAGTATATTGACGTACTATATAATTATTCAGAAATTAAACAATATGATTTTTCCAGTACGTGCGAAATTGCATTTTACGTCGATTGGCATTAAAAAATAAGCTAGGAGGATTGCTACTTCATCGTCGATATGTGCTGTTGAGAAACCACACACCTCAGTTCTCATGTGTGTGTACAGTAGATTTACATTCATTTATATTGTTTTTTTTTTTGTTTACGAATCCGCTAGCCGTGTTGTCACTGCAAAAACTAAACAATCTCCGATTATTTAGAGTGTCTAAGCGACACTCAGCGCCGTAGACAGTTTGTTGCTATGAAGCTTCCGTAGTCAGAGTAAGTCTTTTTTTATTTGTTATTTTCTTTTCTACTAAAGCTGCTTTTTAACGTTCTCAAGATCGCAAAAAATATATTTAAATAATCAAACTATTTGGAGTAAATTGATATTAATTCATATAACATTGACATCTTGACGACGTTTCAAAAGTCTACTGTATTTTTTTGTTAATACTGACAACAATCCGCCAATATAAATTATCTCATGCTGTGTCGAATAAGGAACGAAATTGGTAATATTATGAAGAAATTAAAAAATGTATTCATACATACACGCCAAAGATTATTTTTTTAATTTTACCTGTTTGTGGAAAGATAAGATGATTTTTTTATGTTAGAGAACTGATGAGCGATACCACGAACAGTGTGGTTGAATCGTCTATTATTCCCTTAATAATCACGATATTGCCAATGAAATCAATTCCGACTCACTGTTTGTGCAAAGTACAACACACCAAGTGATTTCACCTTTCGCACATCACTCGCCTCCAACAGTTTCGATCACAAGGCCCGATGGACAATCGTTCACGGTGAATAATTCTTCTTATTGTTGTAATATTGTTCATGCGTAAAAGAATCAAAGCCGACGTATCGGTTGCCCGCCATATTGGTGACGTTGCCCTTGGCTTTTCCAGTGGCGCCTCTGTCACCGACGAAGATCGTAGCGTTCCGGCGGCTGTCCGACGCGGGCCGCCGCCGCCCATGCCGCCACTCGTCTGTCATCCGCATAACCGAGAACCCCATCTCGGAGGTGGTGGTCTGCTAAGCGCTTGTGCCCTCAGCAGACCCCTCCCCCTACCACTAGCACCCCACCCGCGCCCGCATACGCGTCCGATGCGCACACGTGGAGAACCATCGCGCAATGCCGTGCATTTCAATTATCAAACTAGAGGCATTAACCACTTGTGACTTCATGATTTCGCGCGTGCGCGCATCTGTAAATGGTCCTCCCGTAAAGTCTGGATTCTTCATCCAGACTTTACGAGATACCATTCAAGCTGTAAAAGAAAACGCGCAGCGGGCGACACACGCTTGACTTCGCACGACGAAGTCGCACTATTGATGTATCGATGTATAAACTTATGGATGTTTTATTAGAGACGCATCCATATAATAAATATACTCACCACATGTATACCACTTTATGCATTTAATGACAAGTATTACTGTAGGCTAGCGATGTAACACTTATCGTACTGTATTATTTACTAACAAAGTGTAAATGTGTACGCCTATTGAGGTATTGCCCCGCGATCTGTGTTGACCGTATTTAAACGCATATATAATTGATATATAGTGGCTGCTTTACGCCGCGGAGGCGACTTAAGCACTCAAACCTGCCGGCGGTTCCCGCCGTACAATTTTAGCACATTTTAATATAAAGTAGGGATGAATCGAAGGGATGAATCCACGATGGGCAGCATAATAGATGTGACTGGGTGCTATGTCAAGACCAAGGTTTTTGAAATCATTTAACGGAGAAATTTTTTGGAAAAAATTTATTGCCATTTATTTTCCGTCAGTTTCATTTCAGGGCCTCTATTATGTATCAAAGTGTTGTGATCAGTTTGTTGGTGTGAGAAAATTTGTATTTATGTCGCGCATGCTTCCAGTGATCTTTAGTTCCTTGTTTTGATATGCAGTATTATTTCACCAGGGTATTAAAATGATCTTGTCTTTATATAATGTTACAATCTAACTTACATTGCTTAAGTCATATAGAACAAATAAGTTATTTTAAGTTCGCGTATTTTCATATTTATTACATTATTTATTTTAAATATTACAGGCCGGTAAATTTTAAGAACGGAGTCACTGTTTGTAATAGGTTGACTAGCAATTATTCTCAACTTTTATTTGATTTCTAATTGTGATATGTTTAATTTATTGTAAACAGTTTAATTGGTTTCATGAGGTTTAGATGATCAATAACAAATTTGAACAAAACTATTGAATCTATTTTAAATAAAAGTTTATTTGGAGGGGTGATGGCATGGGAGAAGAAGGAATTTTCTTCGTAGCTAGGATAGCGTCGATCTGTAGGTAGATCTGAGTAGTAAATAATTGTTAAAACTTTTGAAGATACTTGTTTGGCGTGTTTGTAACACCTTTAATATTGCTGTGCTTTTGTACTGGCCAAATTAATCCTGATCACGTCAAACACTTAAATTACCCCACGCATAATTTCAACGCTTTGTAGGTGTACAATGATTAAAAATAAATATTGTGTAATGACCCTTAGAATCTCAAATCCATGAAAAATAAAATGACGTTGATTCTGTTGAATGTGTTATTATAATTTATGAATTTAATGTGACTCTATTAAAAGGATTTTATAAAGTACTGTCTTTTTATTTATTCCACTGTATTCCTGTCTTTAATTGTATTCCTTATATTGTGCCTTATATAAATAAACTTTTCAATAAGCTTATATAGTCAAAATAAAATTTTAAACCTTTGGAGATATTTTGTTTTAAATTTTGAAAAACTACATAATTCAGACCATTTATTTATTCTTTATTTAATTTTGCTTGTGCGCGCTAATCTCATAAACGGCTTAACCAATTTGGGTGCACTTTCACTAATGCATTGTAGTAAGCTTCACTTATTATTTAGTGTAAGTTTTATTTAAATCGGTTCATGAATAAAAAAGTTGCATCAACTTAAAGAAGCACATTGTAATATACCTAATATACAGCGTGTCGTTACAACCGCGACAATAACATATATATGTAAGATAGGTACAGTTGAATTGGATGAAATTGTAGTTGACTATATATTATGGTCTGTAAAATGGTGATGCTTATAAGTTTATATAACGTTACAAAAGCGGCCAAGTGCGAGTCGGACTCGCGCACGAATGGCTCCGTTATACCCTTTGGGTACGGAACCCTAAACATGAACAGTTTTGGCTGTGGCACATGAAATTATAAACCATCTGGTGCGGCGGCGGGCCGAAATGCGCCCCCAACGATATTTCCGTCGGTGAGTGGTAGGTCTTTTCCACTTGTAGGTCTTTTGTGGTAGGTCTTTTCCAGTGGTAGGTCTGATCCACCAGCACAGGGTAGATTAAAATGCTATAACTTTACGAAAACATGATGTATACAATGTATTTTTTACTGTGAATCGAACCTAAGTTGGGTTCAAGACCATTCTAGGTCGATTGGCCCCTAGTACTGCTATATAGGAAATTAGCCAGGAACCAGGGAAAGCGACGGGCCGATATTGACCTGAACCGCACTAAAATATTATTTTTAGAAGAAATGGGAAGAACAAAAATAAGAGGGTATTTATACTAATATTATAAAACTGAAGAGTGTGTTTATTTGAACACACGGACTAGTGGTCCTAATTGAAAAATTCTTGCACTTTTAGATAGCCCATTTATTGAGGAAAGCTACAGGCTACTTTTAACACGATATAAAATGTAGTACATGCGGGCGGAGTGAAAATCTAGTTATATAATATCATAGCCATTAATCAAATTCTCGTGTTGAGCTAATTTAAACCATATTAATAATATTCAATGTTTCATCGCTTAGTGGGATTTAGAAATTAATATTATTCTCTCTATAGTTACCATCTCAATGTGACCTAGAACACTTACGTTCACCGCAAGGGAATATCTCGGTCATTGGCCATTATTGCTGGCTTGTTCAATCCTGGGTGCGATTCATACGTTAATCACCACGCTCTCTAGATCAATACCCTCGTGTCGATGAGCATCTGAAGGCTTTAGGCCATTAGCGGTAGGCTGCAGTGGGCCTGTTGCTCAGTACATTGGACACTGGAGTGCATTTAACTGTCAGTGTGTGTATCATTTGCATCACGCCCAATATCTTCCGAAAAGTTGCAAACGGCGAAACATCCTTTTGCCATCCTCCATTATAGTGAACCGTAGTGCAGTGGGTTATGAAATGGTCCGCAAAGCAGCTAGAGAATTGGAAAAGATTTATGCTGTAGAAACGAAACGTGTACATACGTATATATCAACCAGATAATCGTTTGAAAGATAGGTAACTGATTGTTAGAAATACGCTCCCTGCATACGGACAATCACACAAGTGATTAGACCACAAAATTTATAATGCTAGCTACCCGCCGTTCCTTTGCACGGGTGGTAATTGTTATTTTTAATGTATTTTTTACCATTATTCGAGCAATAAAGATACAAATAGAGTTCGTGGTACTTCCTGAGACAAGCCTAATCATTCGTGCAACAGAAACTGTAGCGTGATGGTATTCACTGTGCTAGACAGTGAATACCATCGTCTATCTTATTCCTAAGCGTTCTTTGCGACGCAGCTTGTTTTAGCTTCTAGTGATCTCCTCCCGGTCACTTTAGGGATACACCAAGGATCGACTCTTAGTCCGCTCTTGCTCTCGGTAGTGCTAGATGTGGCTCACATATAGAACCAGCCTGATTATATATGCCGATGACATAGCGCATGTTGATGAGAGCCAATCATTTCTGGAAGGGTCGCTTGAGAATGGCGGTCTAAAACTTAATATGGCGAACAAAGAGAATGTAATCACTACGTTTACGTTTTGATGGCGAAGACCGAATGGCTTGCGGCAGTTCGGACTAGCACGATCAAATTCAATTTCCAAATATCTTTATCCAAATAGACGCTTGGCCTTTCTTATGAAACGTGGAATGTTACGTAAATAATTAATATATCGATGGTCCCTAAGTAAAGTATCGAAAGTGAAAAATGCAACTTTTCAGGAGAGCGATTTAAAGTTTATTTTTTGCATAACTTTGTCATTTATGATAAGAACTTCATAAAAATTTGGATTCACAGTTGTATTGGGCTTATTAATTATTACGTCATTGCAAAAATCGATAATTATAAATAGTTTTCGAGAAAAGTAAGTTACGATAGTATACAGTGTAAATGAACTTGCTTTATGAATCGAAACTGGCACTTTCGATTATTTACAGGGAACCGCATATACACAAATGTATCGAATCTGCCGATTTCGATATTTTACTTTGGCTTATGTTAGGAATATTTTATTGAAAGTGTCATATTCGATTATTTACTTCGTAGATTGCTTGCACTTACAATTATTTTGTTATAGGAAAACTAGAAAATAAATTACGTAAAACATTTTTATTAAAGTGTGTTACAAATTAAACAAATGTATAAATTGTTGATGTAAATAATATTTAAAATCAGTCTTTGTTACCAACTTATCTATGGTAAAATTTAGGAAACAAACAATAATGTAGGACTTCATTGGTAGATACGTAATACTAATTCAGAAAAAATATTCATTAGAATAACTAATCTCGAATTCCTGTCTTAACAAAAAATATTATAGTATTTACATCATAAATAGAGAATACAGAAAAATATCTTAGTAAATGAATATTACTCATCGGACTCATCAATATTTCAGATGAAAAGAAAAATCCGTTGCCGTAAAACCTAAGAAATATCAATTTTTTTTGGGTATTGTTTATGAACGACATAAAGAAATCAAATCTTTATACTTTGCTACTGGTAAAAGTAGTGAATTTGAATAAAGATTTTTTAAGAGGTGGTAGGACCACGCAGCAGCCTCGGCTGTTGCACGAATGGGCAGACTCGTCCGGGTAAGTACCACGACCTCACAGAAGAACGACACTAAAGTGGAAGTATAATACTTTCGTGTTTCGTCTGGTGAGTGAGGTGGCCGGAACCCTATTTTCAAAAGGTTGTTAACGCATCTTGAACCCAGGGGTGTAGCAAATGTCCATGGGCGGCGGTAATCACT